GGGGGATATCAACATTAATAGTGATAATGACAAAACGATTAAGAGTATGCAGAAAATTGTTATACCGTTCACATATCCCCAAATGGTTTTGAATTAATTGAGTTTAGGTCGCATTTCTAAAAGCACTGTGAAAGAGAAAGGTATATGAATCTAATCCCCATGCTGCCTGATCCCTTCAAGGTAATGCACCGTGGTAATACATCCATTAACTCACATGATTATTTAATTTACTCTTAATAAAGCCCAGAGAAATATATTTTGACTTTTCAAATGAAACCAGGTTTTTTTGAAAATAGCAGTTTCCAATGAGGATGAATTGCAGCTGGTTTTCACACATTAGCATATGATGCACCAATAAAAATGGAAATTGCCAAGACTATGAAAGCAACAGCGCTTTTCTTTGGTTTTGTCATTGTTTACAAGGTTCGCCGGTTTACAGCCTCGGTTCTATTATTTCAACTTCGAGGTGCATAATGAAACAATAAAAATGTAATAGCTGCAGTTATATAGGGGGGAGACTGAGAGACGGGCTAAGTGGAAGACAGAGGAGGGCTGTTGTAATTTGCATGTTTAACAGGATGCTAGCTGACATTTAGCTATTTACCTCTCTCGAGGGATTAGCCGTGGATTAGGCTCTAATCCAGCATAAAATATGATGCATCTCATCACCACAGCTCCCACTCTTTTAATTTGTTTCCAAAGTTTTGATTTCCTCCCAGGAGGAAAGTTATCGAGCCACGACATGAATGGATAGGAGCAACTGTGGAATAGACTGTTCTTAAAGTGGCACTCCTTCAGATATCAGTCCTCGTTGATTTAGAGAATTAATCTTTGCAGTCTGGAGTCTTTTTTGTTGATACATGAGCTTCAAGCTTTCAGAACTGTGTGCATAGTTCCATCTTTTGTGTGTATACAACGGAGAAAAACTGTAAAATAGCATTTTTCTTCAGGGAATGCCATCCAGATTGTAATACTGCAAATATAAACATTGCAATACTTTCATCAGCGGGCCACAGGCTCAATCACCATTGTGTTACCTCCTTCAGCGATAGAAAGACCCCACAGACATGTATTTAAATGAAAATCTTCGAGATTGCTACTTTAAGTTCTCCCTATATCTCCATTTCCCTCTTGGCCTTTCAGGTCGTCTCGGCCAGATGAAGAAAAGATAACCGGCCGTAAGGAAGCAATGACATGATGCAACCCGATCTCCTCGGGAGTAATGGATGCCAACGTTGGACGCCTCAGTTTAAGTGGCCCATCCCTAAGAGCCCGTCCTTGTCCGCTTCCTCCTCCTCGTCCTCCGTCCTGACCTGTACCTCGGTTAGCCTCCCAGTCACTTCTCATTTCTGCAGAAACACACCCCGAAGCATCCCTCAGTCCTCTCTTCAAACTCCTCCATGGAATTGATATTGACAATTCAATTCCTCCACCACAGGCCTTCAATTTGCCTTTTGACCCAGCGCCAATGTCGTTCTCACAAAAGCCCGGTGGAACAAGAGCTCATATGACCCTTTGATAATTATGAAAGTCACTCTTTAATAAAGTGTTATGTGTTCAGCTTTGAAGCTGATTTAGTTTACTGATGTGTGTGTGTGTCTGTAGGTGTGTGTGTGTGTGTGTGTGTGTGTGTGAATTTGAGCATTAGTTTGTGTCACGTTGTGATGAAAAGAAGCAAGTAAAATTAATTATTTATCAAACGACGAATTGGAGCGTGATCATACCGGCCACTCGTTGTCCTCTCTTTCAACCCGTTTCTGAATTCCTTCTCTTCTCACACTTTGAAGACAACTGCAGGTCTACATTCCCCATGTAGGGATACAACACTCCATATCCTTGTTTGGATATGGACCAAAGGAATGCACCAAAGTCTCTGGCACACTTTAGCAATTTAAGAAGATCTTTGGAGACCGCTAAAAAAAATATGAAATGTGTCCTTGTTATTACCGTTTCCCCCCGTCGGCAGCTCATATTTCCAGCGTATCTGATACGACATGACTGCTACCTTGACGTGGTGTTTGCTGGGCTGCAAACATGAAAGACGAGTCAGTCAGGACTCATTTCAAAGCTAGTTGTTTCCAGCCGAGTCCAGTCACGACTACCAAGATCAGCTTTTTGTACTTTATAATGCTGTAATGATCATGACCACACTAATCCAGTCTATTTTATCATCTGGGTCATTCTCCTGTCTCTCTCTCCATCTGTCTGTCTTCTTCTTTCTCCTCTTTTCTGTCCCGTCTTTTTTTTTTTTTTTATCTCCGCTCCCTTTCAACTAGAAACACAAATGAATATGCTTCATTGCCAAAACACAACCTGACACCTTGTGTGTGCTATCAGATCCCCCTCCTCGTGCTTTTATCACATTCTTGCCATTGATTTTATTTTGTCAAGAAGCCAGAGGATGAGACAGCCTTCACCCCCCCTTCCTCCTCCGAACCCGGCTCTCTTTGTGTTTAATTATTGTCCCTGTTAGCTCAGCTTTAATTAAAGCTTTTTATCTGACAAACAACGCTAATGATGTCAGGTCACAGAAAACAAATGGAAAGTTCCCAAAGTAAAACTAGTGTGTTTGTCCTCAAATCCCAGGATACTTTAGGATTTTACAGATCTTAGATTGATGTTGAAAGTAATAATCTGCTGTAGTTTGATTTCTTTTTATTATATCAAGTGTTAATACAACAGGGATTCACTGTTTATAGGTAATGGAAGCTTTAAAAAACTTCACATCCACGTCCACAGAAACCTCACAGGCACAGTTTGATTTGAGGAAAGTTGGAAAGTTAGTGTATTTTCCTTTATTCTGCAAATTAAAGGGATCTTAAAACATCAAACTGTACTATCATTAAAGTTCCCATTTAATGATAGCACAACACAGACACCCTCTGAAAGTAAATTGCAGTCCTATGGAAGCAGAAATAGAGTGCTTCTTTAAGTACTTTATGTTTTTATTACACTTTCTCAGTAAATCTACACAAGGATGCGTATTAAGAAAAACATTTTCCTCGGTTTAAACCTGTGTAGCGGCAATTATTGTTATTTATCTCTAGTTGTACGCCAAATATGTCAAAAATCTTTATTTTTTTATATTAAAATAATTTTCTCTTCTGTTAAACAGTTTCAAATGTTTGATGGCTAAATGAACCTCAACTTTCAAGGGAACACAAAGTGATTATAGTACATCCTCAGGGGGGTGTTTATGTCTCTACCAAACTTCATTGCAATCCATCTGATTGTTGTTGAGACATTTCACTTAAAACCACAATGCATTCGGCACCATGGATAGGTGGACCTATTGTCATGGCATCCCATCCATCATTGAATGGCTGCACTGGCTTTGTTACGCATTGCATGTGATTCCAACCATGAACTTTCAAGATCCAATACGTCTTTTGCAGTTTATAACTAAAAGTTCTCCTTGAGCAAGAATGGTCTGGGATTTATGAGCCACAATTACTTTCCAGATAATTAAAGAAGCACATTTTTGTTTGCATCAAATAATTTGGATGCTCCATTTTCATCCCGAGGGTGAGTGATTTCAGCCAAGATTCATGGTGACAGTAAAGCTTTGGAACACAGTCACTGGCTGCCCTCTGAATTCTAATATCGTGCAAAATCTTTGAGGGGATACAGAGTTTACTTGATCACTTTGGGTGCTCATTGCCACCGTATTTTTCTCATCCAAATGAAGTGAACTCTATCCTACCGCTCCATTCATGAAACAGTTGTTTTGGGCCTGATTGTCGACACAATCTAACAAAATAGGAACGATTTTGTTAAGTTTCCAAAAAGGAGTTTAACGATTTTTTCAAAAGTCAATTTACCCACTTTTGTTCATTTTTTTTAGCTTCTACTTCATCTTAGAGGAATTGCAGCGTTTGCCTTGATATTATTATGAGTGCTATAAATGCTTGCTGTACTGTAAGTGTGAAGGAAATGTAGGGACAACCATCTGCAAACCGAATTTTGGTCCTCAAAAGGGGTAACCAGATCATTCATAAGTATTATTAGGATGTGATTTCAGTACTGGTAGGGTAAAGGATGCTGAAATCCTGTCTCCGCAAGGAAGACAACAGTAGCACCCAGGCCATGAACCCTTCTACCGAAAGACAAGACAGTATAGAGGGAAGTGCTGGAGAACATGACACCCAACAGATTTTACTATAGTTTGTCAGTCAAGGGATCAGCTAGTGATTCAGAATCCATTAAACCATCCAGGAAATCCATCTTCAGTCCGTCAGACAGACAGACAGACAGACCAAAGATCAGTTTGTGAGCCATCAATCCAGTCCATCAGTCAGCAGGCCCAACAGTCAACCAATCAAATACCTAACCCGTCAGACGGACAGCAGGTCCATCCGTTGATCGGCCAACCAGCCAGGTACCAGTGTGGGTAGCACCATGGACGCGGAGCTGAGAATTTAGGCCTATTAGCACTATCTTTGCTTCCCAGCTTGCCAACCAGCCAGCCTGCCTGCTTTCCCTTCAAAGCTGCTGCACTGTTTCCTTCAAATCCATTTTTCTCGCTGCCGTCTCCTCTCTCTTTTCCTTTCAAGCTTTCATGAAGCAGCTGCACCGCTCCTTCAAATCCTGTGCATACAGTATATCCGCCATCTTTCAGTTGGTCTGCCGTTAGTCCCCATGCTTACATGACTCTATTGTTTGTGTCTGGCTTTCTCTTCTCTCCTTGGTTTCCAATGACACCCATCTCCCTCTTTGTGTTGCAACTACATCAATGATGATCAGTCATTGCTTTTTAACCTGGGCATGAAAATAAAAATCCTGAGGGATGCTAATCCT